AACAGATCATAAATGACAGAAATGGAGGAAAGCAAACTACTGGATACAGAGTTCAAAACCACAGTTATAAGGTTTTTCAAGAATTTTCTAGAAACCGCCGATAAATTTAGTGAGACCCTCGAGGATATGAAAAAGGACCAACTAGAAATTAAGCATATACTGACTGAAATAAAGAATAATATACAGAGATCCAACAGCAGACAAGAGGATCCCAAGAATCAAGTCAAAGATTTGAAATACGAAGAAGTAAAAAACACCCAATCGGAAAAGCAAAAAGAATCCAAAAGTATCAAGATAGTGTAAGGAGCCTCTGGGACAACTTCAAGTGTCCCAATATCGAATTATAGGAGTGCCAGAAGAAGAGAGCAAGATATTGAAAACCTATTTGAAGAAATAATGACAGAAAACTTCCCCTTCCTGGTAAAAGAAATAGACTTACAAGTCCAGGAAGCACAGAGAACCCCAAACAAAAGGAATCCAAAGAGGACCACACCAAGACACATCATAATTAAAATGCCAAGGGCAAAAGACAAAAAGAAAATCTTAAAAGCAGCAAGAGAAAAAAAGTCAGTTACCTACAAGGGAGTACCCATACGACTGTCAGCTGATTTCTCAACAGAAACTATGCAGGCCAGAAGGGAGTGGCAAGAAATATTCAAAGTGATGAATAGCAAGAACCTACAACCAAGATTACTTTATCCAGCAAAGCTATCATTCAGAATTGAAGGTCAGATAAAGAGCTTTACTGATAAGAAAAAGCTAAAGAAGTTCATCACCACCAAACCAGTATTATATGAATTGCTGAAAGGTATTCTTTAAGAAGAGGAAGAAGAAAAAGGTAAAGATAAAAATTATGAACAATAAATACGTATCAATCAACAAGTGAATCTAAAAATCAAGTGAATAAAAAATCTGATGAACAGAGTAAACTGGTGAATATAATAGAATCAGGGGCATAGAAAGGGAGTGGACTGACAATTCTCAGGGGGGAAAGGGGTGTGGGGGGGTGGGAAGAGACTGGGCAAAAATCGTACACCTATGGATGAGGACAGTGGGGGGGTAAGGGCAGAGGGTGAGGTGGGAACTGGGTGGAGGGCAGCTATGGGGGGAAAAAGGAACAATTGTAATAATCTGAACAATAAAGATTTATTTAAAAAAAAGAAATGAGCGAAGAGTTCACCTTTTTAAAAGAATGTTTTTATTGATTTTAGAAAGAGAGAAAGGGGGAAGGGTTGATAGAGACATCATCCATTATCTGTCCCCTGCACTTCCCCTATTGGGGATTGAGCCTGCAACCTGGGCATGTGCCCTGATGAGCGACTTCTTGGTTCATGGTTTGGTGCTCAACCATGGAGCCATACCAGTTGGGCAAGAGATCACTTTTTATGTTAGTGACAGTAGTTTCACAGTGAGGTGAACAGAGTCTCTTGGAGTCTCCTTACCTATTGCTGAGTATGGGATAAAATAAGTAAGAGGCAATGTGGACATGTGTTAGTCCAGCTCTTAACTATAGCTAATTCTATTTCCCAGTTAAATTATTTTCTAAGATCACATCCATATGTATTGAGTATTGCTTATGAAGAGATGATGGGGGCCAAGAAGACATTTAAACACTGAAGACCTGCTGTAAGAGCAAGAGATCGGAGGAGAGAAATACTGATCTCCTTTGAGAGAACTAACAGTGTCTTTTAAATCAGGGAGATCTACTTTGGATACTATGAGGATGACCATAAAGGAAATGTTAATTTGAGTTGAGATTGTGTGCTGCCTGAATTGTATGCTAATAGTTACATCATTCTCAGGATAATACATCACCTTCTTCTTATGATTATTATCCCAATGGCAGTTGATCAAATCATTTTAACTGCATTGATATTTGCACTAACATGGATTGGGTTACATGAATTTCATGTCTTTTCCTACTTAGATTTGGTTTAAAAACCAGAGAGCAAAACTGAGAGCATTGGGAATTGAACCGTCCTCAGGAAAAGACCACACTCAGGAGCAGCACCAGCATCAGCCTTGGACTCAAGGTAAGAATCCACAGATCCAAAGGAATTTCTTCAGTGGGTCCCATTGAGAGCAAAAACGATTCCGCATGTTGTGTTCAAATTCTCCACAAAATGTCCTTATCTTAGGACCTAGTTACAGCTTGTTCTAGGAACCCTAGAGTCAGAAATATAAGCATGGTCCGGCAGTTGGCTGGGACAGGCAAGTTCTCAGCAAGCAAATCTCTGGGCCTTTTGGCCCTGCTCCTCTAAGCCTGGTGTCACCTCAGGGGGATTCAGAGAGAGTAAGTATAGTCAACATGGTCTTCTCAAACTTGAGTTTCCAGATCAAATGTGAAAACTGTCCTAGAAGCTGCCAGTAAAGGCCAGACATCCATCACAAGTTCTCAATCAAACATCCTAATTCAAGTCTTTGACAGAAACCAATTACCTAATACTGCAACCAGGATAATATTGGCTGAACGAACAGGCATTCAGGAATCAAGAATTCAAGTAAGTTCTATGTCTGTGGCGCTAAATACCTCCTATGATATTGCCCCTCAAAGATTGCTGGAAAACGGTTGCCCTATCTTGAGTTATCAGTCATCAAGGGACAAAGACAATGGATGGTAAAGACCTGGCATTGTAAGTCAGATTCCTACAAAAGGAAGCATTTTTGCATCATATTGTCAGTGTTGTGTCCATTTAAAATCACCAGCAATCTGGCTGACGTGGCTCAGTGGTTGAGCATCAACCCAGAACCAGAAGGTCACAGTTCGATTCCCAGTCAGGGCACATGCCCAGGTTGCAGGCTCAATCTCCAGTGTGGGGAGTGCAAGAGGCAGCTGATCAATGATTCTCTCTTATCATTAATGTTTCTCTCCCTCTCCCTTCCTGTCTAAAACCAATAAAAATATGTTTCAAATAATTTTTAAAAATAAAATAAGATCAGCAGCAAAAATGTGGGAAAATGTTGTAATTAAAGGGAGGATTCTAGAGCACATGCCTTTTCAGCCAGTTTCAATTCATCTGTTGCTGAGTGTGCTATGACCTTAATTTATGTGTATGTTTGTGTATATACGCATGCATATGCATACACACATACACATACTGAACACATTTCATCCTGATATTAGGGCCTATGTTAATATCGCCTTTGCTTTACACAGTATGAGAAATGGTGCCAGAATTGCTTAACTTATCATGTCCATGTCTCCCCTTTTCCTTCCATACATGTGGTTTCAGAACCAAAGATCTCCTCACCCAGGGCAGAGCAGAAGTAAGCCTGTGAATTCCTTGGTAGAGGGCCCAAATGGGACACGAGATCTGATAGTTCAGCAGCACCAAATCAACCTGCCCATGCTCTCATGCGGGTCTCATTTTCCTTCCTCCAATGTTTTCAGCAATAACCAAACATCTCTACCTGCTCTACTCCCATCCCATGTGTCCTCTGTCCCTTCTGTGAGCCAAGGACCAATTGTCATGATGGTGCAGCCCATGCAGGCTGGGCAGGGAGGAGAGAACCCTCCCTCTACTTGGACACTTATAAACTACCTGCCAATACTGCTGACTCCAGGAGGGGGCCTCTCCAATGCTCACAATCCTTTCTGGCTCCAAAACCAAGAAAAATGCCAGAATCGCGAAGAACAAACTGCCACAGGAACACTACAGTTGAAGGACTATTCTCAGCCTCATCCTGACCACAAAAAACACAAATTACAGGATCTGGATCAGATGGACATATCTTACATTGGGCAATGGTGGGATGAGTGGTGCCAGGCTTTGATTGCAGAATGGGACCCTCAGGAAGGGACACACTGAGCCACACAACACACAGCTCAGCTGGAGACCCATCTCATTCCCTCGGCTAATTGCACCAACAATATTTAGAAGCCTCAAGCCTTTTTTTACTTTACTTTTTTGTTATTCCTCACCCAAGGATATTTTTCCATTGATTTTTAGAGACAGTGGAAGGGAGAGGGAGAGACAGAGAGAGAAAGACACATCGATTGGTTGCCTCCCATACACACCCCAACCAGGGCTGGGGATTGAGCCTGCAACCGAGGTATGAGGTACCAGCCCTTGACCGGTATTGAACCTGGGACCCTTCACTCCAAGGGCAGACATTTTATCCACTGAGTCAAACAAGCTAGGGCAAAACCTCAAGTCTTTAGGTCAGTGATGGCGAACCTATGACACGCGTGTCAGAGGTGACACGTGAACTCATTTTTTTGGTTAATTTTTCTTTGTTAAATGGCATTTAAATATATAAAATAAATATCAAAAATATACATCTTTGTTTCACTATGGTTGCAAAGATCAAAAAATGTCTATATGTGACACGGCACCAGAGTTAAGTTAGGGTTTTTCAAAATGCTGACACGCCGAGTTCAAAAGGTTCGCCATCACTGCTTTAGGTCAACTCCTGCAATCCCCAAATTTTCAGGGAAAGGTACAAACTTTTCTGAGTACTGTTTCCACATGAAAAGGACACTCAAGGATTCCAGTTGTGCCTCAGTGAACATTTTCAGGCTCTTTTCCACGTAATGCAAAGCTCACTTTCAGGAGAAGGAAGACAACATCATTCTCATGGAACCTGGTCCAGGCCTCCTTTCTTTGGAGGCAGGATCAGTGTAATTTAAAGGACGGTAAACAAGCCCTAGCTGGTTTGGCTCAGTAGATAGAGCATCAGCCTGCAGACCAAAGGGTCCTGGGCTCGATTCCGGTCAAGGGCACATGCCCGGGGTTGCAGGCTCGATCCCTAGTAGGGGGCGTGCAGGAAGCAGCCAATCAATGATTCTCTCTCATCATTAGTATTTCTCTCTCTCCCTCTCCCTTCCTCTCTGAAATCAATAAAAATATATTTTTTAAAAATAATAAACTATGAACTCATCCTGTTCAGGACCAGACTAATGAAAGGGCAGGAGAAACCACTTGGAAACCCAAATAATAGTTCTACTCTGTTGTGGGCATGGGGATATGGGTGAGATACTCATACCTCCTGTTACACACCTGATAGTTCCTGATTGTTTCAGATTGGCTTCTCTCCCCTGTGGCTCTCAGCAGTTCACACTATTTTGCCATCTTTCACAGTCTTAACACAGATCTCTTTGCTCCATCCATTTTGCTCATGACCTAATAATTCTAAAATGGAAGTACTTTATTGATTATCTAAATAATAAGCAAAAATAATAATAATACCCAAAGCAATCTATAAATTCAACGCACTTCCCATTAAAATACCAACGGCATATTTCACAGACCTAGAACGAACTCTCCAAAAATTCATCTGGAATAAAAAAAGACCCCAAATAGCTGCAGCGATCCTGAGAAAGAACAAAGTAGGTGGGATCTCAATGCTAGATATCAAGCTGTATTACAAAGCCACTGTTCTCAAAACTTCCTGGTACTGGCTCAAGAACAGACATATAGATCAATGGAATAGACTAGAGACCCCAGAAATCGACCCGAACCAATATGCTCAATTAATATTTGACAAAGGAGGCAAGAACATACAATGAAGTCAAGATAGTCTCTTCAATAAATGGTGTTGGGAAAATTGGACAGATACATGCAAAAAAATGAAACTAGACCACCAACTTACACCATACACAAAAATAAACTCAAAATGGATAAAGGACTTAAATGTACAACGGGAAATCATAAAAATACTAGAGGAATCCAAAGGCAACAAAATCTCAGACATATGCCGAAGCAATTTCTTCACCGATACAGCTCTTAGGGGATTGGAAACTAAAGAGAAAATAAACAAATGGGACTACATCAAAATAAAAAGCTTCTGCACAGCAAAAGAAACTATCAACAAAACAACAAGAAAGCCCACTGCATGGGAGAACATATTTGCCAATGTTATCACCGATAAGGGTTTAATCTCCAACATTTATAGGGAACTCATACTACTTAACAAAAGGAAGATAAACAATCCAATCAAAAAATGGGCAAAGGACCTAAATAGACACTTTTCAAAAGAGGACATTCAGAAAGCCGAGAAAACATGCTCAAAGTCACTAATCATCTGAGAAATGCAAATCAAAACAACAATGAGGTACCATCTCACACCTGTCAGGATGGCTATCACCAACAAATCAACAAACGACCAGTGCTGGAGAGGATGTGGAGAAAAAGGAACACTCCTGCCGAAACCGGTTTGGCTCAGTGGACAGAGCATCGGCCTGCGGACTGAAAGGTCCCAGGTTCGATTCCGGTCAAGGGCATGTACCTGGGTTGTGGGCACATCCCCAGTGGGAGATGTGCAGGAGGCAGCTGATCGATGTTTCTCTCTCATCGATGTTTCTGACTCTCTATCTCTCTCCCTTCCTCTCTGTAAAAAATCAATAAAATATATTATAAAAAAAAAAGAAAAAGGAACACTCCTGCACTGCTGGTGGGAATGCAGACTGGTGCAGCCACTATGGAAGACAGTATGGAGTTTCCTCAAAAAACTAAAAATGGAACTCCCATTTGACCCCGTGATCCCACTTCTAGGAATATATCCCAAGAAAACAGAAACACCAATCAGAAAGGATATGTGCACCCAGATGTTCATATCAGCACAATTCACCATAGCTAAGATCTGGAAACAGCCTAAGTGCTCATCAGTAGATGAATGGATTAGAAAACTGTGGTACATCTACACGATGGAATACTATGCTGCTGTAAAAAAGAAGGAATTCTTACCATTTGCAACAGCATGGATGGAACTGGAGAGCATTATGCTAAGTGAAATAAGCCAGTCAATGAAGCAAAAATACCACATGATCTCACTCATTTATGGATAATAAAGACCATCATAAACTTATGAACAAAAATAGATACAGAGGCAGAGCAGCCTCGAACAGACTGTCAAACTACAATGGGAAGGCCAGGGAGGGTTGGGGGGCGAGAGGGGGGGTGAGAGATCAACTGAAGGACTTGTATGCATGCATATAAGCATAACCAATGGACATAAGACACTGGGGGGTAGGGGAGGCCAGGGGATAGTTAAGGGCGGGGAAAAAAAGGAGACATATGTAATACTTTTTGTAATACTTTAAGCAATAAAACAATTTAAAATAAATAAATAAATAAGCAAAAAGGTCAGTTCCTTTATGGTTTTTATACCTAAACCAGAGGCCCGGTGCACAAAAATTTGTGCACTTGGGGTGGGGAGGTCCCTCAGCCCGGCCTGTGCCCTCTCACAGTCTGGGGCCCCTCAGGGGATGACCATCTGCTGGCTGAGGCCTGCTCCCCAGGGGATTGGGCCTAAGCTGGCAATCAGACATCCTTCTGGCAGCCCGGCAGCCCTCGGGGGATATCCACTTGCCAGCGGGAAGCAGACCTAAGCTGCAGTCAGACATCCTTAGTGCTGCTGAGGCAGGAGAGGCTCCCATCACCACCGCTGTACTGGCAGCCATCAGCCTGGCTTGTGGCTGAGCAGAGCTCCTCCATGTGGGAGCTCACTGACCACCAGAGGGCAGCTCCTGCATTGAGCGTCTGCCCCCTGGTGGTCAGTGTGTGTCATAGTGACCAGTCATTCCCAGTCTTTCTGCTGTTAGGGTCTGTTTGCATATTACCTTTTACTATATAGGATAGAGGCCTGGTGCACGGGTGGGGGCCGGCTGGTTTGCCCTGAAGGGTGTCCCGGATCAGGGTGGGTGTCCCGCTTGGGTACGTGGCCAGCCTGAATGAGGGGCTGATGGCTGTTTTCAGGCTGCCCGCACCCCTTTTAGGGTGGGGGTACCCACTTGGGTGCCTGGCCAGCCTGGATGAGGGGCTGATGGCTGTTTTCAGGCTGTCTGCACCCCCTTCAAGGTGGGGGTCCCCACTGGGGTGCCTGGGCAGTCTGGATGAGGGGCTGAGGGCTGTTTTCAGATGGGCCAAACCTGCAACTGAAGCTCCCAGTCTCCTTTTTTTCTTTTTTTTTTATTCTGGGATTTATTTACCTTCTGTAATTGAAACTTTGTTGCGGCTCCAGCTCCGAGGCCGGCTGGCTGAAAGCAGGTATCTGGGGTTTGTTTAGCTTCTATAATTGAAACTCTGTTGCTTACGGAGCTGTTGCTTTCAGAGCTCAGAGCCGTGCCGCGGCAGGCGGGGAACCTTGGCTTCCTCCATCGCCGGGGCAACCAAGCCTCATGTTCGCTTCAGCTGCATGGCTGCCGGCCACCATCTTGGTTGGCAGTTAATTTGCATATCACCCTGATTAGCCAATGGGAAGCATAGCGGAGGTATGGTTAATTACCATGTTTGTCTATTATTAGATAGGAAATTTTTGTGAATATAATCAAACACTTATTGGACACTCAAATACAAAGTTCCATTTATTTTCAATAACAAAAGCAACACAACAAAGAGGAATTAATTCACTAATTTTTAAGTCTAACACAACCTTATCACAAAATTGTCCTCAACAAATAGAAACACATTATTACTATTAACCAAGTAAGACTATTCTTGAGACTCTTTAAACAAAACTGGGTGATAGGTAAAGAAACACGTTAGATGCTTGACTGACAAGGATTCAAAGAACAGCCAAGGAGCAGGGTCCCCAAATATTGTTAGCAAAGGAAACATGGGGTTTTCAAAGTAGTTGACAGATCCAAGTTAAACTTTTCCATTAACTGTCAGATGATCTTAGAAATCAGAGCTCACTGGGGGATGCAAAGGTTTGGGGTAATCCATGTTCAGGTCTTGTAATGAAATCTTTCCATATTTCTAAATCCTTGACTTAGAATCTATCACAATCTAGAGGAGCTTCTGCCAAAGGACAGGAGGCTCTTTATTCACACTGCCTGAAAAGACCTGTCTTCCAATTTTCTTCCTTTAACTGGGTTATTAGTTCCTGTACAATAAGATACAGGTTCCATTCCAAAAAAAGATTACTATGTAGACCAACCTCTCTCTGGTTTATATTTTCCTTCAAGAAACACTGATACTGCCAGGGACAGCTCTAAATATATCCAATATCTTTTATTTTTATCCTACACAACTCTGCATAGCTACAAAATCGTGGACTCACAGAGCAATGACAACATTTGGTCAGAAGACATGTCAGTTCCAACATAAAAATCTCTGAAGTTCAACCTCATCTGCCACACCTCTTTTCTTTTCTCGTTATCCTGTCAATTATTTCTTTCGGAATTCAATTCTCCGAGCTACATTTTGAGCACCAAATTTTTTGACCAATGTATCTCGGGCATCCTCATCACCCTTTTGCAAATCTAAGTCATCCTGTCGGGACCAAATGGGATACCCATCAGCCCTCTGACCAGACTCTAAAAAGGAGGTGGTAGCCTCCACCTCACCACTATTTTTTAGGAAGGCCTGTGTAACTGTTGACAGATCCAAGTTAAACTTTTCCATTAACTGCCGGATGATCTTAATTGCAGCTCCTACTTCTGGTGGAGAAACTTTTCCTTCTTCTTCCTCATCAGGCTGTGTTTCTGAGTCTTCTTCAGGTGTGGGTGGATCATCATCACACATTGTAATGTGTATTTCAAAATCAGGGCTTTCCTCCACCTAGAGAAAGTGATAAATAAAACTAGTCTAATTACCCAGTTACACTTAGTCTTGCAGTATCTGGTCTCTCCCAGTTACCTTCTCCTTGCCCTTTTCACTCTAATCACACTGGACTTCCTCCAGTTTCTTTAATATGCCATGTTCCTTCTTACATTTGTCTTGAATGTGTGTCTGTGTATGTATATATACGTATTTATGTACATTTGTGATAGCAGGCTAAGAAAAATGTGTGTGCAGGTGGGGTGTGTGTGTGTACAAACGTGCATCTGTGTGTATGTATATGTCTAATTATGGTATCCCAAAAGAACATTAGAAGCTACACTGAACATGAAAAAAATATACGTATATGCATACACATGTGTATATTTTTGCATTAGATTATTTGGGGTATTTTTTGTTTTGTTTTTAAGAATACTGTTCTTTTTGTTTGTTTTATATATATTTTTATTGATATCAGAGAGGAAGGGAGAGAGAAAAACATCAATGATGAGAGAGAATCATTGATCAGCTGCTTTCTGCACACCCCCACTGGGGATCCAGCCCACAAACAGGCATGTGCCCTTGACTGGAATCAAACCTGGGACCCTTCAGTCTGCAGGCCGATGTTCTATCCATTGAGCCAAACCCCCACTGGGGCAATGTGCAGCATTACATTATTTGTTAAAAGTGCCTTCATTACATTACATTATTTGTTAAAAGTGACTTACATTATTTGTTAAAAGTGACTTCATTCCCAAATTGTAAGCTCTATAAGGACAGAAATTGTATCTGTTTTGCTTATCATTAATCCATCCCCACTACATATCAATGGCTGCATATAAGTAGTCAAAAAACATTGCTGTAGGCCCAGCTGGTTTGGCTCGGTGGATAGAGCGTCAGCCTGCGGACTGAAGGGTCCTAGATTCGATTCTGGTCAAGGACACAAACGCAGGTTGTGGGCTCAATCCCCCAGTGGGTGGTGCAGGAGGCAGCCAACTGATTCTCTCTCATCGTTGGTGTTTCTAGCTGTCTCTCTCCCTCCCTTCTTCTCTGAAATCAATATAAAAACAAAACACACACACACACACAAACACAAAACAACAACATTGCTGTATTAGGGCCTCTAAACTATACTACATTTAGCCACATTATAAAATACGTTATGTGAGAAGAGACCTATGTAGGCCATGTTTGGGAGTTGTTGAGAGCATTTGGAAGTTTATGGAAAATTAACCTATGTAATATCAAATAATAAAAAACTCAGATTACACAAGGCAACAATCCCTGAATTCTGCCAATTCTTGTGCATTCCTTCACTCACCAATTACAGAAACTTCAAATTATTTTCCTGATTTAGACTGCGGCCTAACCACTTTTTGTGTGTTAATAAGAAAAGTTCATTTAAAAAAACCTTTTCCCCCCAGCCAGTGTGGCTACATGGTTGAGCTTCGACCTATGAAAAAGGTCACGGTTCAATTCCCAATCATGGCACATTGCCCAAATTACGGGTTCAATCCCCAGTGTGGGGCGTGGAGGCAGCCAATCAGTGACTCTCTCTCATCAGTGATGTCTCTATCTCTCTCTTCCTCTCCATTCCTTTCTGAAATCAATAAAAATATGTATTAAAAATAAATAAAATATCCTTTTTCTTAAAGAAGATATGCACATATAATTTGGAGTTTTTTTCAATTATTGCTCATTATTTTATGGCTCCTGCCTTACTCTATAATGATGATTAAATATGGGATTTCAACAGATTATTAGAAGTGAGACTGAATATGGAAGAGCTAAAATTTTCCTAAAAGGCTCTTAATACACAAAAAACAACTTGCTTGGTTAAGAAATTTAACTTTTTAAAATTATATTTATGTTCCTGAGAAGCACAAGAACATTTTTATAAAATGCTAACTTTGAAAAACTTATACTGAGATCAAAGTACTAAAAATGGGATGTTTTATACTGTTTAAAAGGAATTTGCCCCAACTTTTCTACTTATCCCCCTCAAGCTTTCCTGTCAAAAAGCAGAAACTACATGCCTGGAACCTATATCAGTCACACTTTCCGTTTCTCTCTTCCACCTTGAACTTCTCTTTTACCGTTCTGGGCAGTGGGTATATAAAAAGGGTAGATGGGAGGACCAATTTCAAAGGAGAAGAATGCAGATACAGAAAAAAAATGAGTTAAATCTAGTTAACATACCACAACCTCCTCAAACCCCCGGGTGGCTTCTATAAGCATCTTTTTGACTGCTTCTTCATTCTCCTTGATCTCTTCCTTTACAAATTCTTCTTCCTCTTCTTCCTCCTCTTCCTCTTCTTCTTCAGGCAAGTCGGGAGTTCTCTTATTCTGTGGTTCTATTACAGAGAAGAACAGCACTAGATTAGAATGAGCCTCTTTTACAGAAAACAAAAATATAGTGCATGCTCTGTGAGCTCTGGACCAAAAGCGAGCCTGTACTTTTTTTTCCATTAGAAGACATCTGTTTTTTATCAGAAGGAGAAGAAAAACATAAGACATGCATATTCAATAATTTCTGCTCTTGCTTCTGAAAAATTGTACTATCCAAATGGTGGTAATTTTCCTAGGTCCTTATATGTAAAATAAAAATACTCTTCAAGCTTAATGCATTTTTTGTCTTGTATTAATGGATTTTTCAAATTAACAAAACTGGAATAAACTGGGTTCTCTGGGAAGCAGATCCTGAGGTGGAAGTTACTATATAAGATGTTTATCAGAGAGCATGCCTGGGAAAACACCCATTGAAGTGAAGAAAGCAGAACGGGCAGAGAAAAACTGAGCTGTGAAAGAGTGCCAACAAGGCCTCATCTGAAGCTAGAAGGTCCTTCAGAGTTGACCCAGTTGGGGCAAGGGAGCCAAGACTTTAAAACTGTATATAGATCAGTCACTGGATACCAGCCGCTCTAAGATGATAGGACTTTAGGCAAGGCAGCTCTTCCAGCTGCTAAAGGCAGATCTGGGGGCTATACCACAATCTACCACATACTATCTACACAAAGGATAGATGGAACTATTTTTGTGATGGAACTATTCTATATCCTGATTTTTGGTGGTGGTTACACAAATCTATACATGTTAAAACACATAACTGGGAAATGGTCCGACAGTTCCTCAAACTATTACACATAAAATTAGCATATGCATGAGCAATTCCATTTCTGGGTTTTTGCTCCCCAAAAATGAAAGCAGGGTCTCAAACAGATTTTACTATACCCATACCCATAGCAGCATTATTCACAATAGCCATGAGACAGAAAAAAACCAAATGTCCATCAATGGATAAACAAAAGGTGGTGTAGACATACAGTGGAATATTATTTAGCCTTAAAAATATTGCCAGAACCGGTTTGGCTCAGTGGATAGAGCGTCGGCCTGCAGACTCAGGGGTCCCGGGTTCGATTCCGGTCGGGGGCACGTGCCGTGGTTGCGGGCACATCCCCAGTGGGGGTCGTGCGGGAGGCAGCTGATCGATGTTTCTCTCTCATTGATGTTTCCGGCTCTCTGTCCCTCTCCCTTCCTCTCTGTAAAAAATCAATAAAATACATATTTAAAAAAAAAAAAAGTGAAATTCTGACACAATACATTATCCTAAGTGAAATAACCAGGACAAATATTGTATGACTCCACTTATATAAAGTACCTAGAGAGACTAAATTCAGAGACAAAAAGTAAAATAGCGCTTGTCAGGGGCTGGGGGAGAGAGAAATAGGGAGTGTTTAATGGATACAGAGTTTCAGTTTTGGAATATCAATAAGTTCTGATGTGGATGTACTTAATTCCACTGAACACTTAAAACCAGCTAAATGGTAAGTATTATGTGATGTGCATTTTACCACAAAAAATAAATTTTGAAAATGCATAAACTGCCCAAAACAGGGTCGCTCAGTGGTTAAGTGTCAATCTATGAACCAGGAGATCATGGTTTGATTCCCAGTCAGGGCACATGCCAAGGTTGCGGGCTCGATCTCCAGTGTGGAACGTGCAGGAGGCAGCCAATCAATGGTTCTTTCTCACCATTGATGTTTCTATCTCTCTCTCTCTGTCCCCTCCTCTCTGAAATCAATTAAAAATATGTATTTTAAAAATGCGTAACTGTATACAAAATTAAGTCAATTTTCTTTTATATAAATTTTTAAATAGTAATTTTAAAAAAGCGTTATCTTTTGGAGATAATGCTGAAATAAATAAAATGCATGATGCCTGGCATTTACTTCAAAATAATACCAAAAGTCTGCCTGGCTGGAGTGGCTCAGGTGGTTGAGCATCGTTCCATGCACTGAAGGGTTACCAGTTCTATTCCCAGTCAGGGCACATATCTGGGTTGCCGGTTTGATCCCTAGTCAGAAAGTGTACAGAAGGCAATCAGCAACTGGTTAATGTTTCTCTCTTTCTCCCTTCCTCTAAGCATGTCCTCAGGTGAGGATATAATAAATAAATAAATAATCTCAAAAGTCTGGATTGAAAGAAATAGATGTAAAAAAATTGACCATGAACTATAATCACGTGAAGTTGGGCAATGGGTACATGAAGTATAGTTCATTATACTATTCTACTTTTATAAATGTTTGAAATTTTCTATAGTAAAATGAACAAATTATAGTTCATTCACAAAATGGAATACAATGCAATCAATAAAGAATGAGTTGAAGCAACATAGACACAAAGACTTCAAGGTCTATCATTATTAAGTTAAAAAAAACACACTGCAGAACTGGTTTCTAGTACATACTAGTATTATCACGAGCAAAAAGTACACATAACAAAGACAATAGTAATGGTTGCCTCTGGGAGAGGAACCAGGGGAAGGGGTATATAGCAAGGAGACTTACTTTTCACTATTTGACCCTTTTGTGTTCTGTATATCTATAGAATAAATTCCTAGAAGCAATATTGCCTAGGTTAAGGGAACAAGCAATTTAAACAATGCCCTTCAAAGAAATTGTATCAATTTTCTTCTATTAACAATATAAGAGTGTATCTGTTTGCATATACCTCACTAATTTTGGATATTACTCATTTTGTTAATTTTTGCCATTTGATAGATAAAATATGACATTTCCTTGCTCTAGTTTACTTTAAACACACATACACACACTTATTATTTCATAGTTTCCATGGATCAGAAAGTCCAGGCATAGCTTATTTGGTACTCTGTTCAGGGTCTAGTTTATTTTTATTTAATAACAATATTTCTCCATTGTTTATGGCCATTTATTTCCTTTTCTGGAAACTTCTTGTTCCATTTCCTTTGCTCATTTTTCTACTAGTTTTTCTTTTTTGGTTACTAGCTTTTGCAAGCTCTTTGGACATTAAGGAAACTAACTCTGAGGCAATGTATTGGAAATATTTTTCCAGTTTGCCCTCCGACTTTATCATGAGAAGTTTTTATTTTTTAAAACATTAAAATATGTTTTTATTGATTTTAGAGAGAGAGGAAGGGAGAGAGATAGAGAGATAGAAACATCGATGAGAAACAATGATCTCCTGCATGTCCCTTATGGGGATTGAGTCTGCAACCCAGGCATGTGCCCTGACCAGGAACTGAACCAGGGACCTCTTGGTTCATGGGTCGTCGATCAATCACTGAGCTACATCTACTGGAAAAAAGCTTTTAAGTAATCAATTTTAGAAAATGTTTCCTTAGTCTTCTTGATTTTAGGATTATCACCATGCTAATATTAAAAAGTATATTCACATTTTCTCTTAGTCACTTTAGGATTTTAATTTTTACATTTAAATGTCTGATGATCAAAATACTATTTTGAGTGGGTGGGTCAGCCTAATTTTGTCCCAAGTCGCAAACGGCTTGCCAGTAGTCCTAATATCACTGATTTAAAAGCAAGGTCCTAAATGATCTACTTCGCCCACACACCTAGCCCTGTCCTCTCCTAGAATGCTCCCTCTCGTTTACTCCATTCCAGCCACAGTGATTTCTTTGTTGCTCCAAGAAAATATTTCCACTTCAGGGCCTTTGCACTTATTCCCTCTATCTGAAACACTTCCTCAGATAACCAACCACCTGGCTTACTCTCATTTCCTTTGGTCTCTGCTCAAATATCAGCTCATCATCGTGACCTTCCCTATAACCCTATGGAAAACAACCTCCTCCCCAACCTTTACCCTGATTTTTCTCTATAGCACTTACCACTTCCCAGCTAGCATGTTAAGCTCCATGACCACAGGGACTTTAACTTATTGTTACATCCCAGCAGGATAAGTGTCTGGCACCCAAATCTCTGTTGAATGAATAAATCTGAAATGTCACTTTTACCAAAAACAAAATTCTACAAAGCATACCAAAAGGAGAAATAGATTTTACCTCCCCAGACTTTAACTGTTACATAAGAGAAGGGAAGTAGAGAGAAAGCAAGCTTCTTTAAACAAATGGGTTTTTCAATCTAAGTACCAATAGCCATTATTATGTAAAAAGTGAAGTGCCTTAAAGCCTTTGCACTGAGCACTAACCAGGCCTGCGTCTCAACATTCAATTCACCTGCCTTAAAAACTCACTTCTTGGCTTAATGGAGAGCGTGGACCTGCAGACTAAAGCGTCCCAGGTTCGATTCCAGTCATCGGCACATGCCAGGGTTGCAGGCTCGACCCCCAGTGGGGAGCATGCAGGAGGCAGCCAATCAGTGATTCCCTCACATCATTGATGTTTCTATCTCTTCCTCTTCCTTCCTCTCTGAAATCAATAAAAATATATTTTTTTAAAAAATTCACTTCTGCCAAAACCGGTTTGGCTCAGTGGATAGAGCGTCGGCCTGCGGACTGAAAGGTCCCAGGTTCGATTCCGGTCAAGGGCATGTACCTGGGTTGCGGGCACATCCCCAGTGGGAGATGTGCAGGAGGCAGCTGATCGATGTTTCTCTCTCATCGATGTTTCTAACTCTCTATCTCTCTCTCCCTTCCTCTCTGTAAAAAATCAATAAAATATATTAAAAAAAAAAAATTCACTTCACCCATGAGACCAGAAAGCGACTTCCAATAGCCAAGAACCTTCTTATGTGGATATACATTCAATTAAGCCAAAACAGAAAAATAGCTGAAACCGGGTTGGCTCAGTGGATAGAGCATTGGCCTGCAGACTGAAAGGTCCCGGGTTCGATTCCGGTCAAGGGCATGTACCTGGGTTGCGGGCACATCCTCAGTAGGAGATGTGCAGGAGGCAGCTGATCGACGTTTCTCTCTCATCGATGTTTCTAACTCTCTATCTCTCTCCCTTCCTCTCTGTAAAAAATCAATAAAATATATTTAAAAAAAAAAAAAAAACACAGAAAAATAAACTGATCTAGCTTGCCTTTAAAATGGTTTATACTGAATCTACCTGAACACAGGAGAAATATGTCCTCAAACTGGTGGTTGCCAGAAGGCAGGGGAATGGGGTGGGGGTGGGGAGCAGGCAAAATAGGTAAGGGGGACTAAGAGGTACACATTTCCAGTTATAAGTCCCAGGATGTAATGTACAGCACAGGGCAGGGATTTTCAACTTTTTCCATCTCATGGCACCCATAAGCTGATTACTAAAATTCTGTGGCACACCAAAATATATATGTTTTTGCCCATCTTACCAAAGAAAGGTACAATTTTGATTCATTCACACTGGAGGGCTATTGTGTTAGCTGCTGTCATTTCATTACTTGACAATCTAAGGGAAACGAGGTCAGTGCCTCTGTCTAGTCAGGTATTGCACGTTGGTGAAAATTCTTGCAGCACACAGTTGAAAACCGCTGGCATACAGAATACAGTCGGCAACCTTGTATGGTGACTACATTCACGGTGATCATTTCGTAATGCAGACAAATACCTAATCATCATGCTGTACACCTGCAGCTAACATAATATTGTATGTCACCTATAATGCAATAACTAAATGATTAAAATAAAATAGGACGACTCTCTGAACTATCTCTGAAAAAGTTTATACCCTCGAAGCTGGTTCCCCCGCTGCCTCTGGGGAAGAAAACTGGATAGCTTAACTGGTGAGTAGACAGAGAACATTTTCTAGATATAGTACTTTTTTTTTTACACCCTTTGAATATTAAACCGTGGCAATATCCTAATTATTGAAAAAAGGAAATCGAAGAGATTAGAAAATGGTGTAATTTTACCCGGATGTCAAAGGGGGGAGGGGCCGGACGATGACACCAAAGCCGCCAAAAAGGACGCCAGACGGGACGGGGATGGAGGGCCCGCCCCCACCAGCACCAGGACAGGCGGAGGGACCCGCACGGCCGCAGCACCAGGCCTCACCCCCGCTGTCGGCAGCCTCCGGGTCTTCCTCCGCTTTCCGCTTGAGTTTCTGGGAGGACGGGCTCACGGGGGCGTCCCCCAAAAGGTACTTGTGCTCCTGGCCCCGCAGGTGCTTTAGGTAGCGGTCCTTCAGGGACTGCCACGAGTGCGGAGTGAGCGCGCTTTTCTCCATCGCTTTCCACAAGGCGTTGCCCGTAACGGAGCTGGTCGAGCGGGCATGTTCCTTCACGTAGGTGAGGATGGCCACGTCGTCCGCGTCGGTGAAGGCGACCCGCCCCGTGAGCGGGGGCCCCTCGGGCTCCACGGCGGCGCGCTCGGCCGGAGCCCCGCTCTTCATCTCCGCTGCCCGGTCGGCCGCCGGGGCCAGGCCCAGCCGATAGGCCTCCAAATCGAGCCTCTCGTTGCGCTCCACGCAGTCTAGAATGTACTGCGTGGAGATGAAGTCGCCCGAGGCCTCGGCCGCCGCCTCCCCGGGCTGGGCCAGCAGCACGGCCCCCGGCTCCTGCACCCGGCACAGGGTGCCGCCGCCGTGCAGGATGAGCGTCGAGAGCCGGCGTTTCGCCGGGCTGGGACGCACGTAGAAGGATATGGAGCTGCCATCTTCCCTCACGAACAGAGTCGAGGAGTGAGTGGGCCCGTTGTCTTTGCCCACATCCATCGCCTCCGCCATAGCTGACGCAGAGGACGAGAAGAACTAGGCACGGAGCACCACGGACGGACCTGAGGTACCGCTCCGGACGCCGCGGCTGCGAATCACCTCACTGCGCCTGCGCGGCGGCAGCGCGCAAGGAGTGCCCGCCCCTTCTCTCCGGAAGAGGCGGGGCTTCCGACCTCGACTGGGACTTCACTGTACAGCCTCGTTACTTTCACTTCGGGCCTCGGGAGAGATGGCTGCGGTGCAGGAGCCTGGGGTGAATGTGGACGGCGGCGAGTCAAAACTGAGCAAGAAGTAAGTAGTTTTGCGGGTCACTAAGGCCTTTGCAGCCAGAGAGTCCGGGCTAGGAAATTCCTCTAGGCTCCGGCCGCGGGGGCCAAGCCTGGGGCCTTCCTGCTGGTTCTTATGGGTGAGGACGCGTGGGGACAGAGTCGCTACGCCCGGAAACTACATTGCCCAGGGTGTCCCGGGGTCTAGGCCTGGTGGGTTCCCCACCTGTCGGATCCCTGAAATAAGAGAATTCCAAGAACTGGAAAGCGAAACTTGACAAGCGAAACTTACTCCTCCCATTTTCTCCCCCGGAGGAAATGTGTTGTTTTAATACTGAACCCACGCCCCAATAAGGAGGTTGGAGAAATGTTAAATACCCTGGCTGTTCAGAAAGACCTTAATTTTCCTTGGCCTCCCTAAGGCCATTCTGAACCTTGTGTATTAAAGCGATCAGTTCTGGCCCTGGCAGGGTACTCAGTTGGGGAGAGTGTCTCCCTTTATGCCAGGGTTTCTGGTTCCATCCCAGGTCAGGGCACATACAAGAATCAACCAATGAATGAATACATGGATGGGTGGAACAACAAAATCTCCCTCTCCCCCTTCCTCTCTCTCAAATCAATAAGTAAAAATTTTAAAAAATAAAGTTATCAGTTATAAAATGTGTCGTGCACCTGTCCATATGGATTATTCAAAGAATCTGTGAGTACTGGGAATGACCAACGTCTAGTAGTAGGAACTGTCTTAGCCAGCCAGGAATATTAAGCTGCATTTAGCATTGCTGGATATAATTCTGTTCATTGCACTCCTTGAAATGTGAAGGTAAATATAAATAAGTAAAGACTATCCTCCCCCCGCCTTTTAAAAAAATGTTTTTATTGATTTGAGAGAGGAAGAGAGAGGGAGAGATAGAAACACCCATGAGAGAGAATCATCGATCTGCTGCTTCCTGCACACCCCCTACTGGGGATCAAATGCTGACCAGGAATTGATCTGGTAACCTCTTGGTTCCTGGGTCAACACAACCACTGAGCTATACCAGTCACCCCCCCCCCCCTTTTTTTTGAGAGAGAGAGAAACATGGATGTGAAAGAGAAGCATCCATGGGCTGCCTCCCGCCTCACCCAGGATGGAATCTGCAATCTGGGCATGTGCTCTGATCGGGAATCCAACCCTTCAGTGGCTGGATGACACTCCAACCAACCCAGCCACACTGGCCAGGGCTAGCTACACTTTTTAACTATGTCTTATATTCTCTGCATACTACACTCCCTCTTAACCAGGGTTCTTTATAGAACATAGGCAATGATTTGAGTGACTTTTTAAAAAATATATATATTTTTATTAATTTCAGAAAGGAAGAGGGAGAGAGAGTAGGAAACATCAATGATGAGGGAGAATCATTGATTGGCTGCCTCCTGCACGCTCTCCACTGGGGATAGAGCCCACGACCTGGGCATGTGCCCTTGACTGGAATCGAACCTGGGACCCTTCAGTCCACAGGTCGACACTCTATCCACTGAGCCAAACCGGCTAAGGCTTGAGTGACTTTTCTCAATACTCCCAAGAATGGTACATAAATAGAACCATTCCAGAAGCATAGGACAGTAGTTCATTATATGTAACTAGAGGCCCGGTGCACGAAATTTGTGCACTGTTGGGGAAGGGGGAGGAGGGTGTCCCTCAGCCTGGCCTGCACCCTCTTGCAGTCTGTGACCCCTTGGGGGATGTCTCCCTGCCGGCTTAGGCCCGATTCCCTGAGGGATCGGGTTTAAGCCGGTAGGCAGACGTCCCTCTCCCAGTCCAGTCCGGGACTCTCACAGTCCAGGACCCCTTGCTCCTTACCACCCACCTGCAGCGGAGGCAGGAGAGGCTCCCGCCACCACTACTGCACTCACCAGCAGTAAGCCCGGCTTCTGGCCGAGCGGCGCTCCCGCTATGGGAGCCCACTGACCACCAGGGGGGCAGCTCCTGCATCAAGCATCTGCCCCCCTGGTGGTCAGTGCGAGTGTCAGCGACCGGTTCGGTTAATTTGCATATTAGGGTTTTATTATATAGGATGGCTGTTTTTAGTACATTAGGGCTCAATTCTCTTGCTGAGCCCTGCTGGAATTGCTCTCAATTAGTAAAAATGTTTCCTTTGTGTCTCTGGGTTTATTCTCTAAGTATTATTGAAAAATTAAAATACCTAAAGTCATGGTTTGATAGACCCTAATATTTTGTTCTGAGTGTCTGATGGATCTCTATGTTTGGAACCTGGTCTTGTACTTCCGCCTTTGGGAAGATTGACTGGACTTTGATCTGTTACATTAGTATTGAATATTAGGTTGTAAATCACAGATGACTGATAAGCAAGGTCTCCAGTTGAAAGTACAATTTTAAGATAAATATAGGAAACTGGCCACTTTCTACTGGATTTTCTTAAATTAAGCATAGCTACCACTTTTTAAAGCAGCTTTTCTGTGTCAGGCACTGTGCTGGGAATGTACAAACTTTTTATGTGATCTCAATAATAACCTTGCAAGTGTCCATTTTTCATTTTAATGGACTGAGACTCTGGGTGATTACATACATTGCTGAAGTGTGCATAACTAAAGTATGGTCTACCACTGATCCAAAGCTCTGGAGCAGACATCTAAAATCAAACTCTTTATAGTGACTGCACCATACCTCATGTGTAAAAGAATCTGTCGTTGATGGCATACCTCTAGTGACCATGAGCTAAAATAATATTATTAATATTTTCTACTATTGTTCTTGGAATTTCCTTGGTCTGAATCTTTAGTGAGCACCATTTGATGCCAGTTATTTTCTCCAAGTTTAAAAACAGATGGCCTGTGTCCGGAGTCATGGGCATTCCATGGAGACCTCCCCATGAGGAGAGGCACAGGCCAGAGGGCTGTTGGCCACGCCCATCCCCAGGCATAAGGGATCTCCTTGCCTTGCTGCTTCATGTCCTTCGCAGTGGATATCCTCACCACTAATCAGCTCTGCAGTGGGAGACAGGATGTCCATGTTCTCTCCCTTCCCACGAACATTATGAGATGTAATGAGAAGCATTGAGATTGTTCAGAAATAAAAGCAAGATGCCCGCAAAAAAACAACAACAACAAAAAAAAACCCACACCAAAAAAGCCGACACCAAAAAAAACCCCAAAAAACACATGGCCTGCCTGACAGGCGACTCATTTCCAGATGAAAGGCCAAATTTATTTGAATGCAATAAAGAACATGATCCCTGTATTTCTGTTGCCTTCCAGTGTTGATGTATAAACATAATATAGTTTTAAGACCCTTCCTGAAATTCTCCTTTCTCCCTTATTCCTAGGGCTCCAAACAAGTCTTATCTTTGACTCAGGTGCTTTTGTGTGGCTTGCTTTTACCTTCATCTAGAGTTGTAGTTGACAGTGACATTTTATATGCTTTTCTGTGCCAAGTAATAGGAGCTTCAGAAGCACTGCTTTAGGTCCTGTCTCTGATTTTCTAGAATATTGTCATCATTTCTACCTGTAAGTGATTGCTGTTGACTTTTGGCCCCAGATGTGCATCTTTTTACCATAGCCTGGACTGAGAACATTGTCAGTTCCAGTTGCAGAAGAGTGAGTGTTAGGGGCTGCTTTGCTTAAGAGGGTCTTAAGTAAAATGGGACACCGAAAGGTTTTGGGTCCTCCCCCACCCCATAGAGTAGGAGTGCTGGTTGGGTTTATGTATACTGTCTGTCCCATCTGACACCACATCTCTGTGTTTCCTGTTAGGTGGTGGTAATCATTAGTTCCAGGGTGTTCTGCCATGTTGACGCAAGCTGCTATAAGGCTTGTTAGGGGGTCCCTGCGCCAAACCTCCTGGGCACAGTGGGGGCAGAGGCAGCCGCGACTGGGTCCACTTGCTCCTTTCACAGCGCTTCACAAGGACCAGCCACTTTCTAATAAAAGAAGGTTGGTGCTCATTACCTTCTTTATTGTTCTGGGAGCAAAAGTCCTCCCCTTACTTGGGTCCTTTTCTGTTAAGCCTCTGGCTAAGTCTTTGGACTTGTTGCTAAGGAAACAAAAAGCCTTGCTACCAAAACTTTTCTCATGTTCTCTTTAATAAATTCATATGCTCTGTCCTTAAAATTCTGGAAAAGACTTGCAGATCTTATTCTAGAACTGCTGAAAAGAAACCTTGTATGAATAAAAAATTTCTAGTTCAGGTTGTTTTTCCTTTCCTGTCTATCTAGAATTTGTTTGCTCTTGAGATTAATTTGGTTTCCAGTCTAATTTCTAGCCACATGACCTTTTTGGATTATCCTTAGGATTGATTTGATTTAAAGAGCAACACCTAGCCCTAACTGTTTGGCTCAGTGAGTAGAGTGTCAGCCTGCGGACTGAAGGGTCCCCAGTTCCTTTCTGATCAATCAGCTGCCTCCTGCATACCCCCACTGGGGATCCAGCCCCCAAATCGGGCATGTGCTCTGACCAGGAATCAAACTAGCCATCTCCTGGTGCACAGGATGATGCCTAACCAACTGAGCTACACTGGCCAGGGCAAGAATGATCAATTCTATTTAAATAATGTGGGTATCCCTTTCTACCCAAATCTATTTGGTTTCTGGGTTCACATAGCAAGTTTTCAGATCATAAGGGATACCAAGTTATGTGAATTGCTTTACTTTTTGAGTCTCATATGACAAGTACCAAGAGTGAGAAGAAAGGGAGTTGACCAAAGGTTCATGTAAGGTTTCTGTCCTGGGTGCAGTGAATAAAGGGTTAAGATAGTGAGGGATACCTGTAATAGCTCACAT